CAATTATCTATAAGAATCATGTTAACATAAACGAAATCAGAAATAATAAAAAAAATATGTGTTAGGGTTGTTAAAAAATGTGTATTAACAAATGATTGATTATTCATTATTAATCGTGAAACACTTCTGTATACACCACATTTGATGTATAGACTTCACTTCTTTTGAATTGTTCGTTGGGATTCACTAATACTTTTGTATTAGCACATGATATCCCTCGGGATAATGCCACATAAAGTTGTCAATGTGAGAAAATCAATTCATAAAGATAAATACTTACATTTGGAATTATTTTTCCATGAGGTTTATTGATTGTCACCGCAAAACATAACCGATTTGGAAATGATTCTCTTTTCAACTTGAATAAGAACATGTCATCTTCAGACGAACAATAAGGAATACTTGAAAAAAAACATTCTTTTTTTTCCATCATGTTGACCAACAACTATTTCAGTATCAATGTCATTGTGCTGAAAACTTTTACATATCAATCGAGTGCCCTTACACAATCTATTTTGGAAAAGCATATGTATGACATATTTTCGAAGTATTTTCCAATAAAAAAATTTCTATTTTCCAAAATTAAAAAAAAAACTTTTAATGTTTATAAATGATTTGTTAATAAAAATATACATTAGTTCAAGGTTGATTTTAAAAAAAAGACTCAATATTTTGATCGTTAGTTAAAAATAACGTTTTAGAAAATCCCAATATTTTGATCAAATTAAAAAAAAAAAAAAAAAAAAGACAAGAGGCCGACTAAATATGTGAAACTGGAAAAAAAAAAAGTTTTTCCGAAGTTTTAATAAGTAATCTGTCATTTTTTATAATAATAATAATAATAATAATAATAATAATAATTTTGGATTAAACTATGAACCGATCAATATTGAGATTTTATTGGAGATTTTCCATTAATTTATCAAAAATTACAAAATATATTGATTTTACTATATATAAAAAATAACATAATAATGTTTTTGAACATTGAGGATAAATATGTTTTTTTACATTGATGATAAATATGTTTCTTCTAGAAAAAAAATACTTTCCTTTTTTTATTCCTTTCCGCCCAAAATTTAAAAAAGCCTTCTTTGAGATTACAACTTAACCCCAATCTTTCCTCCATCGTTGCATTAAATCCTACCTATTGAAGATTCGTGAATAAGGATTACATAATTTGGTATTATTAAAGCTCCCTAATTCTATCATTTTCATCAATCACAAACATTATTTGATATGTTCTTAGCGACATTTCATAGTTCCACATTAGATTAGGCAACTTTTAAGTACTTAGAATACTATTATAAGGTTTGGGATCGAACAACTATGGTCTTCATATTTAACTACATTCTACATTCAACTCCATCATCTTACCATTACCATTTGACTATGAGGTAAAAAAATAACCTTTAGCTTCATAATTTATATAAGTTGTTATGAATTTTCTTATCAAATTGATAGCAATCTAATGTCAAATTCTATAGTAACACATAGAAACGGCTGGTAATTAGTTATAACAAAATAAAAATGAATAAATTTCATATACCGAAAGCCAAGAGATTGACATGAAAAAAACATTTCTCTACCATATACAATTAAAAGTTGCAGCCGTATTACAATAACAATGGCCATCTAGTCTACATAAATGGATAATTGTCTCATTAAAACACAATTGAAACAATTGGCATTACAGTAAACACAAACAAAAATAAAACTTATCAAATGGTACACTAATTTGGTGTGGCAACACTTACAATTTAATTAATTGATTAAGTGACAAGCTAAAGATCATAAAACGAATTTGATCTCCATCCTTCACGTCATAGTTGTAGCATTAGTCACCCATGCAATTTACATTCAACTCTAGTGCAAAATGGAACTCTTTAAGCCTCTAATTAGCTTAGTAATTGAAATAATGTATGCAAACCAAAAAAAAGATTAAACACCTAAACAAAGTTGATCTTCATTACTCATTCGTTGTAAGAAAAAACACATGAACATTAAAAGCAACGTCATTCAAATCCATAAGCTTCTCCAATTAAAAACAAAGAAAATTGCAACAGAACCTAAAAAGTTTCTTAACCTAGAAACATTTAGTCGATATAAAACACTAAAAAACAGTAAATACACTTTTAGGTAATATATATACATTTCCAACAGTTCAACTTCATGTTTTTGTCATGTGAGTTATTATAGGGGCATAAGAAGGTGACATTCTCCCTTTTCTCATCCTATTGATCTACATGTACACACACCAACTCAACTATCAATCAATGGAAATTAATTTAGAGTTTGATAAAAGTATATAAATACCAAACATCCCCTTTAAAAAATTGTACAGATTTTACAAAGAACAAAATTAGCAAATTTGGAAACAATATTTGACGATAAAATTTTGAATGTTCTGAACTTCACAGGTTAGACATAAATATTTGTAACCGTTCAGTTAAGATGTTAAAAATATGAATGAAATTATAAGATACTTAACCAAAATTATACATGCAACGAGTAAGCTATTCAGCAAGCGTTTTCTCGAAGAGGGATAATAACCAAAAAAAAAAAGACAATAATAACATTTGTTCTTATTTTCCCACCACACATTCAAAGCACCACACAAACTTTCCCTAGCCTACTAGTGATGATAACTGACAACTTATACAGACCTACTAAAAACTATCACATTTGACATTAACCAAAAAAAGACCACAATGCCCTTTATTTTTAATTTTGCCCCAATGCTTTAAATTATCATATTGATTTCTTCTCCACGATGCATTCTTAAATCATAAAAATTCATACAAACTTTAATAACCCAATTGCATTTGACAATTGATAGTGATGAGAGAAAGACCATATTGCCCTTTTATCTTATTTTCGTAAATGTCATCAATATCAAAAAAAATTATCAAAATAACCTATTATAATTTTATTGCACTATTCCTTACAAATACTAAACCATTCCTTTCTTTTGTTGTACCAACCATACTCACAGTTCATGTTGCTAATGTGCACAAACCATATAGTTCGACATATCTCATAAAAAGACCACTTTGACCTTTATGCTTACTTTTATAGCAGCGCATCCATCCTATACGGTTCTTCAATAGAAAAGGACTAAACCATATTAAATTGCAACCAATTATATAACTGCAATAATTAGTGGACAAAAGATGAAGACTCACATACCAAGTTCGTGGTTAATTGATTAAGACATAAGAGCACCTGCATGAATCATGACATAAAGGGAATGATATTTAGATCATATTCTATTTTGAAAACCTATTTATAGTTTGATAAAATACCTTTAGAGGTTGCATATACAGATATGGAAGGAAGACCAGTGACACCAACAATATAAGAGATGAAAATGATGGTAGCATTATATATGAAAGATAAATGTAAAAAAAGAACATACCCCATGAGCTTTTTCTATTATTTTGACTTTAGAAAGTATACAATCTAATAAGTTGTCATTCATTAAAGTGGAGGCGAATAAACGCTTGTTATCTAGAATATCAGTAGCTTTTTCATAACCTGAATGATAATAAGTTGGAAGGAAAAAGGAAAAGAAAAACGAACTGAATATCAACTTCTAATAAATATACAAATAGAAAAGGTTGCAGAAACTAACCGATCTTCGGCTCTGAAAAACCACTGCACTCTAAAGTAATTTTTATCATCAGATGTTTTGAAAAACTTCACAATCTTGCCAACATGTTTTTGCTTTCCCTCACCCTGAAAAAATTTACTCACATAAATGACCTTCTTACCCCTGTAGTGAAGAATAGAAATGGCAATGCTAATACATAATGATCTAAACAATTGGTCATAAAATTGACCTTGTTATCAAGGAACTTGTTCACAATTAGTCAAACTAACCTCTGCCTTTAAAAAAAAGGAATACAATATTGAAAAGAACAAACCTCCTTAATTTGAAGAAAACCTTTGACTCATTCTTGATAATCTAGTGAGTTATCAGGATCAATCACTTTAAACACAAGAAACATTATAGGAGCAGCCATTACAGATGGAAGATAAACCAGAGACCTTGAATCTACATTTCGTGTTTATATTACATACTTGATTTGAATTAAATCAAAATCAAAAAATTCTTTGATTCATGACAATATGATTGAGTTTATGAAGGGTTTTTAGAAGGTTACCATTGACGAAAGCAAGAGCAATTCTTTCGTATCTGTTCATGAACTCTGAATGAAGCCAATGAGTGATTAAACTAAGCCTCTTCATTGTGTAATCGAATATTGCAAGTGGGGTTACTGGATTCATCTTCCATTGAAGAGATAAAAGCACTAAAAGCTCCATTTTCATTATAGTCTTGGATTTGAATACGTATTTTGATCCTTCAACCTAAACGAAAACAACCTACAAAAGAAATAGACGTGTTAATTAAAAAATAATGACATTGGCATTTTCACAAACAATTGGAGTGCATTCGTATAGATTAGATGTGATGGATATGGATATGGATATGGATATGGATACATACTTACAAGTCCAAGAGAAGAGGCATATGGATTTCTTCAACTTTAGAAGCGAAAGAATTACAAGCGACTACAGCTAACTGATTCATCCACGGCTTATCTTTCTGGAAAGAGTCGCTCAACAGGAATCTATCGAAGTAATTAACAACCAAAATGGTTGTCATAACAACAAATCCATCATGGGTACTAACCCTAATCATCCGATCGACATATTCTTTCCTTAAACCTACTAAAACCCTATCACTGAACAAATCCCCTTCTTAATAAACAATATTTTTCTCTTTAGACAAAAGGGAAGCAAGCTCGTCTTCTTCCCACAATTGATCATGTTCAAAATGGTTAAAAACATGAGCTTTTTGGTTCACGATTTGAATTTCTTCTTCAAATAAACCAATCCCAAACCCACATCCAAAATCCAAATCATTTTCTTGAACATCGCAGAAAAGACCATCATCGAAAGAAATTGCAGGTTTTCAGAACACACATTCTCGTTTTTCATCTTCTTATGGTAAGTAGATGTAAGAAGTTCCAATCCATTATCTTAAAGAAAACAAATAGACGAATACGAGATGAATTAGAAAAGATTGTTCGAGATGATGTGAGAATTAGGTCAAAAAGATAAAATATTGGAAAAACTTACCAGGTAAATGTCGATAACGACCGAGGTGTTGCCGAACCTATACAACGGCATTCTAGAAGGTTCCATGGCAGTCTCATCAAGCCATAAAGTTTTCTGCAACGGAAGGATTCGCTTATCGAGCGTAGTTACGTTCGATCTGATGACAATGGATACAATTTTGAAAAGGTCTTCGATAATGGTGACGCCTCATATACCGACTTCGTCTTCTTCCTGAAAGATGCAGTTGTACGAAAAGTCGAAACTTGATATGTTGGTGTGTACGGTGTGGAGGAGTTTGCAATTGCAGTTGTGATGATCGAAGGGACGGTTTGAGAGGAGGATAGCCACGCCACCAACGCGGAAGACGGCGTAACATGACTTAGGGTTTTTTGATGAAGACAATTAATTTTGGGTTTTTGTGAGTAACTGTGAGCCTAGGAATAAAAAATATTGCAATGAGCATTGTATTGAAAAGTAGGTATTGTACCTCTTATATTTCAAGAAATATGTAAGAAATATGTAATATCTTTAATAAGATAGTTAATATATATATATATATATATATATATATATATATATGTTTTGGTGCATTTATTTTTATGATTTACAGACGATTCGATTAATTTTTCATATTTTATTATATTATAATAATCACGTAAAACATACTATTATATATATATATATATATATATATATATATATATATATATATATGTTTTGGCGCACTTATTTTTATGATTTACAGACAATTCGATTAATTTTTCATATTTTATTATATTATAATAATCACGTAACACATATTATTCACATAATTCTTATTTATTACGTCAAATAGGTTATAATTGTTGACCCTAACTATTACATCATAATTTTAATGTTTAGCCAGAAACGCGGACGTTACACATAGGGATCATCCCACTAGCATCGACCTAATAGGATAAGGCCAACCTAGTAACCCAATGACCCCCGCAAATCCTGCTAGAAGGTGTGGACCCTAGAGTCATGCTAGATAAGTATAGAGCAAGAGCAAATGGAATATGAAGGAAAACCTCCGTCTGAGTAAGGCACCTTATATAGAAGAGGTCACTTGAGGGAACCTTGTCACACTCCTGTCTGTGATAAATGGTGGAACCGACCAATCGGTGAACCAACCGATAGATAGGAGAATGTAATGCACTCTCCTTGGCCGTCCTAGAGACATAAGTCCCACGAGCATGGGCTCAAACCTGCATGTAGCTATACTCCTGTGGTGGAGCAGTATACAACTATCAAGGTAAGCATAAAAATGAGGGCTTAGAGTCTCCTCAGTAGTGTAGATCCCTAGACGCCTCCCCAGCTGGATCAGGTTGCAGGAGCGGGATATGCCTCCCAGGCAAAAAGTAAAAGCTTATGGATTAGCCCATCGCATCAACTGCCTATCGAAGTGGACTGTCAAAAAGAACTCTCAGCAAAGCTCCTTGTAGATCGCCTCCCAAACTCCAATAACTTATTGCCACTCGTGACAGACGAAAAGCTCAAGACCGCTATCATCCTACAAGACACGGGTAAGAAACAACATCAGTCGAGCCATCAGCCTAGTATCGTCCGCCACCCTCCAAGAAACAGCCTGGGGAATACGAATCTTCTTGGACAGAAGAGAAATAAGGCGAGAGACGAAAGTTCTCTAATCAAGAAGATCATCGGGGAACTCTAGGAAATGATGTGAAGGCTAGTTTGGAGGTAACTGACCCGCAACTTATCGACCTCGTCTAGTCATACCTATAGGAAATTAGGCCAAAATGGTTAGGAATAAGTTAAAAGAGACAAAAAAATGCATTAGGAAGTTGAAATGGATCGGACGCGCCAGATGCGCGCTATGTGCGAGTGCACATGCATCAGTGCGGCGTGCCTCAAGAACACGAAGAACAACAATCATGACAACCTGTTGTTCTGTCCAATTTTCAACTTAAAAATGTGTGACAACCCGATATTTCGAGGCAATATGATGGAACGCAAGTCAAATTTATGTCAAAAATTAACTTTCCTAAAACCTTATTTGGGTTAAATAAAGTATTAGGAATCGTATCAAGGTTTTCATACATATAAAGAACCCAAAAATCCGAGTTATAACGAAGAAGTTATGACCAACCGAAGATTCTCGGCAAAACCGGCAATACTGATAGACGTAAAATGCGAAGTTTCACTACAATAGTTTTTGGCCTTAGGTATCTAAATGAAAGTTTTAGATATCATCAAACCGTAAACGTACATAAAAAGAATGTCCAAATCTGACTTCGTATGAGGAAGTTGTGATTTTTCTAAGTTACAGATATAACAGTAGACAGCTAAAAACTCGAAATAGAGATCGAGAGACTTTTAGCCGACACAATCTAAATGAGAATCGAAGGGCTCAACAATACTAGCGCAACGGTAAAAAGTCTGACGAAAACGGACGTCGGATGAAGAAGTTATGGAACTTTAACGGACTTTTCCTGTCCCGACCTATTAAAAATATAATATTAAAAATAAAGTCAAAACTAGCCGACGGAGTCTAAACGAAAGTTGTAGATCGTAGTCTCACCTTCGCGTGGATATAAAGAACGTCGAAAACGGAGTTCGTATGAGAAAGATATGAATTTTTGAAGTTTGCTAATTAATTAAAATATAAATTTAATTAAAATCCGATATTATCCGAAGGAGGAGTCATCGGACCAATCCAGGTTACGCCCCGCGTCCCTCGTACGCCCAGCGTACTCGGATGCTAGGCTCTGGTTCGTCCACGTCGCTCTGATGTTTCGACCGAGGATGCGCTCATGCATGACGCATGAGTACGCAGCGCGTACTCTCGTACGCCCCGCGTAACGAGGTCCTCCAACCCCTATATAAAGGGTACAAGGGTGTCGGCCATATTTGCTAATTTCCTTCCTTTCTCGCGTCGAAGCTCTGTGTTTCAACCCTCGGAGTCATCCCAAAGGCCCGGTTTTCATATTCAAGGTGGGAAGAAAGTTCTACACTCCCGAGACTCCCGAGATTTCCCGAGAATCTCGAGAGATCCGCTTTCTCGATTAGAAGTTCTGCTCGGTTTTCGTCACGCTTTCTTCAATCAATCAAGTGAGTTCATACCCCTATAAACTACACTTTTAAATGTTTTATAAATACTTTTATATGCTTTTAAGGGGGGAATACAAGTTAAATACTCGATTATTGTCGTGTGTTATATAATAAAGTTCATTATACGCTTTTCATCAACGGAATCATATGTAATTTATAACAATTATAGGGAAACTTTCGTATGAAAAATATATCACGATAACATCATAACTTTTGAAATGAAAAGTGTTGTTATTTATATAAATCAAACACTCTGCTTATACTGTATGTATATGTGTCCATCTTTGGTACTACAAACATACGATTATTTTGGCATGAAAAACATCAATATTTTGGGATACTTGTTGTTAATAAATCAATCATATGGATTTATAACTAGTATACAAATGGATTTACTACAAGTTTAGCAGTTTTACTAAACATATTACTTCAAATGACTTTCTTAAACGTTTTTACATGATTAAAGCTCTTTATCAAACTGTCTTACACACTGTAAGCTTCCTTTCAAACTCGGTTACAAAGGTGTTTTCAAACAGTGGTTTTTCCGTGTACTTAAACTGTCTTATCAAACAAAATACTTTCAATCGTTTTATAAACTGACATCAAGTCACAAATTCTTTATTAGACTTTTCAACGGTTTTACAAAACTTCTTTATGCTTTTATATTATAAATTGCATGCCTCTCTATATATAGTTATATAAGAAATGTTTAAAAGACTTAGGAAGGCTATCCACCCTATTTCCTTTTCCTCGATTTGGATGTGGTCTGGTGGGATATCGGGTACCCGTCCGAAGGTCGTTTAAATATTAGTTATATATCATGTGTACATATATAGTCATAAATGTTCCATCAGTTAATTCTGTTCTGACGCTCTTGGGTAGCAAGGGTGTATAAATCTACTTGGACACTCATCAATTACATTCTAGTAAACTATTATAGGAATAGTTTAGGGGATACAAAACATTATTCCTATTACAAGAAATTACACCAGAGTCAGTTCATTCATGAGTCTAGACTACCTGCTATATGAAGGGATACTCTTACAGAGATTCCTCTTACATGGATATATTTATAGGGATACTCTTACATAGATACGCTTACATGAGTACGTTTACATGAATACTCTTACATGAATACTTATACATGAATACTTTTACATAGACATTATATGGCAAATTACTATTACATATTATATGTCTAGATACTGTTATATAGTTCTCCTTTCTATCTTTACCTTGTGATACAAACACATCATCGACGAGATAGATTGGACTTTATATCCTAGTACCAAAGGATACTTTACGGGATTAACCATTCCTAGAATCTCTATTAGCTACAGAGGTAAATGCACATCCACGGATGTCTTCGGTTGATACCATTACAGGTATACTTTAAGGGATTAACTATTCCTACACCCAGCTGTTAGCAACAGAGGTAAATGTACATCTACGGATGTCTAAAGTTAACACTGTTAGTTATCCTAGTATAAAGGGATAATACGTAAGTTAGTTATCCTAGTATAAAGGATAATACGTAAGTTAGTTATATTATTACCATTATCTGTGACTCATCCACATAACCAATGAGGTGAATCGTATTTGAGTATCCTAGTACCAAAGGATACAATTTCTTATATTAATAATAATTGTCAAACAGTCGGGTCTTGGTAGAAGACTACTTTCAAAACAACTAGGTCTTGGTAGAAGATTTCATCTATACTAATAGGAATCATAGGGATTTCTAGGGTTTACCAAACGGTTTCGATTACTTACAAACATTTCCACACTTATACGAACTTTCTTTCAGAACAATATCAAGTCTTTCATTACAAGTTTTACAAATCAAAAACACATTAATACTTATGAATTCACCAGCTTTTTGGCTGATACTCGCTTTCAAAATAACTTGTATTCTCAGGTCGCAAATAGACAGGTACGACGACCAGGTTTTGTGAAGACGGAGCAATCCAGACTCGTCTTATTTTCTTATTATTCATTTTATTGTTGTATATTATGAAAGAACACACATGTACTTGAAACTTATACTATTAATGCAATGGATGATGTTGTTGCTTGTTTACTACTTTAGATTGTTGTGATACATTACATGACGTCCTCCGCCCCAGAACATTTCCGCCGTTCTCGGTTTTGGGGTGTGACAGATTGGTATCAGAGCATTGTTTATAGTGAATTGAGTATATCAACCCATAAAAGATATACTAATTATAAATACATTAGGATTAAAAATACTCTGACTTAGAGTTTATACTTTTAAATAATAAAATA